AAACAAACAAAAAAAAAAAAAACCAAAGCAAAGAGCTCACTTAATTCCTCTCCTGGCAGGAGCTGGGACCTTCCCCGAGAGCGAGGGCCGTTGGCGGCAACGGACGCCCCCGAAAGAAGGTCGGCAAGCGCCGAGTTCACCACCTCTGTCCTCCTTCCACCTATCCCTCTGCTCCTGCATCAGCCTCCAGCTTCCCAACCATCTTCCCGGCTCTTCGCCGCTATGTCCTCTCCCTTCTTCAGCACGGAGGTGAAAATGGAGTCGTGAAAAGGAGACCCATGGTCAGCTCCTTGCTGCCCTGAGAAGCTAGATGGAAACGGTTGAAATTACAAAGGGGTCCGTCAGGAAGACTGGAGAGGACATAGCTTAAGTTAGGAGGTTTCAGCCCCTCCCACCCCTCCCCAGACAGTGGTACCTGTGGTAGATGTTCCACCCCTCAACATCACAACCAGCTTTGGAAAAGCTTGGAAGTGCTGGAGAAGGCACCTGGCTCTCCTGCCACTGGCCTTTCCCAAGGTGATTCTCCATCCCCCTTCCATCTAAAGCATCATCCTACCAGCTTAGTCTTTTCTTTTAGACATTGGCCACCTCCAGGCTGGGCTATGGTGGCCTCCTAACAGGTGAGAGCTGGACAGAAGCAGTTAGTGCCACGATGAAGTCCAGGAGAGGAGGAATCCCCAGGTCACAGTGTCCCCACAAACGCTCTCCAGCAGAGACATGAGTTGTCACACCCCCGTGGCAGGATTCTGCTCTGCTTGGGTTGGGTTGGGTGGGCTTCCTACAAAGCTGAGGCTCCTGATCTAGAAGCCCACCCCACAGGCACTGCCCCAGCAGCCCTGCAACGACCTGCAGTTAATTAATGAGCACACAGAGAGGGTGTGAATCCACCTCTTGAAGAGCAACGGGGATGGCTCGCAGCTCCAGAGCCTGAGCAAAGCTCTCTAGATACCCACAGCTCAGCCCCACCAAGGCAAACACAGGCCCTGGTGACACAGGGACACGGTCAGACCTGGTGGTGGACCAACGTTTTGGAGGAGTCAACTCATTTTGTGAAGCTTCACACTTTTCATTAGTGTTTGTCAACTTTTTTTCTGTGCTGTTTGCAGTTTTGACACCTCAGCAGGTGAAGGAAGTGGAGATGGGTGGTTGGAGAGAGAAAACTCAGCCTGGGGGGGCCCAAGCAAGTCTAGCTCTGAAGCAGAGTAGGACTTAGACTTGGCTTAGAACAACCCCAGTACAAGCAATGGATGGAAAGGTCTCTGTCCACCAGAGATTCAACCTGACAGTGTCACTTCAACAAAGCAAACTGAGGTCCACGTTGGTTTTAAGAGTCTACAAATGAAAATCTAGTAACCAACCAGAGCCACTTGGGAAAGAGGGGGGAAAAAACCCAAAATACAACCTAACTTCTCTGGAGAAACATCTCCTAGTTGCTCTGGATATGGTGTATAAATGACACTGCTGGTAGCTGGGGTTGGTGGACAGCACAACGAGAGGTTCATGGACTTGGAGCTTGCTGTGGTCTCCTCCATAACATCCTTCCTTTCTACCAACCTCTTCAAAATCATCACCCATTATCCAATCAATGTATAAATTAACTCCTTTGCTATAGAATGCATCATAAAATATCTGTTTGCTTAAAGATTGCTCTCAATAATTAAAGCTGGGTGGACACTTGACAAAGAGAAGGGCACAAGATCCTCCAGGAGCTGCTCCACCAAGCCCACACCGTGCCAGAAGCAGGGAGGACCTTCAAGTTCATGCTTGGGGAGGTGGAGTTGGACTTGACTACAGTGTAAAAGCAACTTCCAAGGCTCCAACCCCTCTGGGTCTCAAATATCTCAGAGGGAACACAAACCTACAGAAGCTGCAGATGGGCAAGAAGCTTCCAGAGAACTAAAGAAACTTGAGGAAGTGCCTCAAGTGTTGAGTGGTAACATCCTCCTATGGCCCACCCAATAAAAAAAGCTGTTGGCTGAAGATGGAGTGGCCAAGTTGGCCACCTGCTCTGGGTGAGGAGAGGGGCCTGGCTCTGGAGGAGGCACCAGTCACCAACCCTTTGAGGGGCTGCTCCACCAGAGGGTTGTGCTGACAGTCAGTGAGACCTGGACAGGATGGAGAGCTGGGCAGGAGGGAACCTTGTGAAGTTTAAGAAGGGTCAAGTGCAGGGTGCTGGCCCCAGAGAGGAAGAACCCAACAAACCAACAGAGATAAGGGGTGACCTGCTGGGAAGCAGCTCCACAGAGAAGGACCTGGGAGTGCTGGGAGAAGCTGCCCATGAGCCAGTAAAAGGCCCTTGTGGCCAAGAAGGCCAAAGTTTTCCTGGGGGCATTCAGGAGTGTGGTCAGCAGGTCCAGGGAGGTTCTCCTGCCCCTCTGCTCTGCCCCAGTGAGGCCACCTCAGGAGTGCTGGGCCCAGTGCTGGGCTCCCCAGTTCAACAGACACCAGGAGCTACTGGAGAGAGTCCAGCAGAGGCTGTGGAGCTGCTGAGGGGCTGGAGCATCTCTGTGCCAGGCCAGGCTGAGAGCCCTGGGGCTGCTGAGCTGGAGAGGAGAAGCCTGTTGTGGTAACTGAATGTCTGAGCAGATAGTCCATCAAGATGTTTCAATGTTGATGGGATACTGGGCCACTTCAACCAGAAATGGCTTTGGTGCTGTCACCACCTGCTTTTTTTCTGGTTGGTTGAGAAGGGAACTGCAATCCCTTTGAGCTTCCCTCTCCCTGGACAGCCTGGAGAAGAGCTGAGTGTCTGAGGTGTCTCTGTGGTGCCCAAACTGAACCATCTGCTGCTGTCAGAGTGCATCACCTCAACACATGGAGATCTACTGCAAGTCACAGGATCACTTTGCTTGGAAGAGACCTGTGAGATCATCAAGTCCAACCATTCCCCCAGCCCTGCCAGGTCCCCACTGCCCCGTGTCCCTCACCCCACATCTCCACAGCTTGGGAACCCCTCCAGGGGTGGGGACTCCACCACTGCCCTGGGCAGCCTGGCACAGCCCTGGGCAACCCTCCAGGGCAAGAATTTGTTCCTCAGGGCCAACCTCAACCTCCCCTGGGGCAACTTGAGGCTGTTTCCCCTTGCCCTATCTTGTCTTTGTCCTGTACAGGTGGACTGCAGTGAAAGCAAGCCCCTGGAGAAGCCCTTTCCTGCAGAAAAGGCAATTTTGGGTGTCAAACCTTTACCAAGAGGACAACTCCTCAGCCCCATTTCCACTGAACCTCAAACAGCTCCACGTTTTCCTCAGCCAGAGCAGAGGAGGCCTAGGCTGCACCAAGGTGCCTCTTACCTTGAGCTCCTTCCAGCTGTCCAGCAGCCTGGTGGCCAAATCACTGACATCCACCATTTTGTCAGTCTGTTCTTGGCTCCTCTCACTCTCAACGTCAGAGACACCTTCCTCTTCATCTTGAGATGGTGTCTCCATTGCCATGGGCTCCTCCAGCTTCGCCCCGTTGCTCTCCTTGACCTCTGCTTCAGGCTCAGCCTCCAGCTCCCCACCTTGGGGTTTGCTGCTCTCCACCGGCGGGTCAACGGCAGCTTTGACCTCCTGCTGCTGCTGCTGCTGCTGTTCCTCTGGCACCTCCATTGGGGCAGCCTCCAGCTGATCCAGGTCCTCCTTGCCCTACTGGTTGTATCTGAGATGGCACTGTCCATGCTGTTCTCACTTATGATTTTCAGCCTCCTGAAGACCAGCTTCTTGGGGGTGTCCGTGTCCCCCTCCGTGCTCTGCTTGGTGGAGAGATCTGGTGTGTTGAGGGGGGTGTGGGCCCTGGAGGTGTTCTCACTGGAGTAGCCATCACCTTCACTGAGCTGTGGGACAGCAGTCTTGGTCTGGGCCCAGCGTTGAATAATGGGCAGCACCTTGCTCTCCTCCAGCATGTTCTTGGTGGGTATGGGCAGGAGCTCCAGAGTCTTCATGATCTAAAGGCAAAGGCAGAAGTCACAGTGTTAGAGCCATCAGAAGTTCAGCTGTCTCCAGCCTGGAACAATTTCCTTCTCTCCATAAGAGGTAACTCTGAGATCAGTCCCCATGGTGGTGACAGGCCCTTGGTCAGGGGCAGCCCTGTCTCTTCTCAAGGCTGGGGTCAACTTCTGCTGGAGGCAAATGAACCCTGACCAGTGGGCACAAGGGTTTAGCAATTCAACTAATGCAGCAATTAGCAGCAATTAAACTGATTTCAAACAACTCCAGTGCTTAGGGTTGGCCATGTCCATTCCTAGGACAACCAACAGAGCTGTGCAGCAGTTCCATCTGCTGCAGGAACCAAAACCTGCTGAGGAACATCCAGGTGCACCCCAAGTGACAGATCATAGAGTTGTTTGGGTTGGAAAAGAGACCTCTGAGCTCCTGGAGTCCAA